GGGGCGCAGCCGGCCGGCGGGCGAGCGCCGCACCGGCGCGCCGCCGCGATCCGGCGATGCGCCCGCGCGCCGGCGGCGCGCCGGCGCCCGGGCGGGTTCGCGCGCGCGGCCGCGCGGGGGCCGGGGCGCCGCGACCCGGGGGGGCGGGCTGGAGGCGGGAGCGGGGCCGCGCGCGCGCCACGAGACGCCGGCTTCCACGACTGCTACGAGATGGGCGAGAGCGCTTGCTGATCGCCGAGTGCAGAGTAAAGCTCTGCAGATTCTCGTACCCTTCAAGGTGAAGATGCGCGCCAAACTGCAATCGGGGCGAAGTTGCGCTCGTCGACGGGCGCGGCGGACGGGGACGACGGCGACGCCATCGCGTGCGCGGCGGCGCCGCGGCCAACGCCGCAGGCGGCCAAGTGCCACCGGTTCCGGCGTGTGATCAGCACAATTCGTCGATTTTGGCGCCTCGCGCCGCGTCGCCGTCTGCATGCTCGTCGGCATCTGCGCCGAAGCACGCTGAGGAGCAGCGGGAGGTGGAGGACTAAGCTGGCCGGCGACCGCCGCGACGCGCGGCGACACGGCAGGCTCCATCGTGAGGTTTCAGCCACTATTCCAAAGGCGATATAAAGCATGGGTGGCCTCTCCGACGCGTCGAGCGACGACGAGGGCGCCATCTTCGGCCTCGCCGGTGGCCTCGGGTCGCTGGACGTCGCGAGCGACTCGGAGGACGAGGCGCCGCGCACCGACGCCGGCGACGATGCGCTGGCGCTGCTCGAGCGCCTCGAGGTCGCCGTATTATTGGGCCTGCGCGACGCGGGCCTCGCGCGCGCCGACGCCCTCGACGCCGCCGGCGACCCCGCCCTGGCCCGGGCCGCGTCCTGGGCGCGCCTGCTCCTCGCCGGCGACGGCGCGGCCGTCGTCGCCGCGCCCGCGCTGCGCCACGTGCTCGCGTCGCCGCCGGCGGACGGCGCGACGCTCGCGCGGCGCTGCGAGGCCTTTGCGCGGGGCCACGCCTTCGGCCCCCGCGCGGCGCGCGCCGAGCTCGCGCTCGCCGCCGCGGCGTGCCTCGGCTGCTACGTCGCGCGGAACTACTGCGGCCCCGCGGCCGGCGGCGCGGCCGCGTCCTTCGACGGCTGGGACGGCGGCGCGCTCCTCGCGGCCGCGGGCGACGCGCCGTCGCCCCACGTCGCCGCCGGCGGCGCCCTCGCGGCCGCGGGCGCCCTCGCGGCCGCCGCGGCGGCCGGCGCGCCGTCGGCCGCGGACTGGTGGCGCGGCCGGTGCGCGACGCTCCGGGGCCGGTGCCTCGTCCGCGGCGCGGGCGGCGCGCTCGAGGACCTCGAGGCCGCCGCGCGCGGGGCCCACGACGCCGCGCGCGCCTGGCTCGCGGGCCTCGGCGACGCCGACGGCGACTGCGGCGCGCGCGCGCGCGCCTTACTCGAGCTCGAGGCGGGCCTCGCGGCGCACCACCTCGACGCGCCCGGCCGCGGCAAGGCCGCCTTCGCCGCCGCGGCGGACTTCGCGGGCGTGCGCGCCGAGCTCGTCGGCGCCCTCGGCAAGCGCACGAAGTACCAGCGGACGTCGCTGCCGCAGCTCGCGCTCGCGACGGCGGGCCCGCGCGGCGCGGCGCGCGCGGCCGTCGCGGCCGTCGCGACGCCGCGGCTCGGCGACGAGTCGATCCTCCTCGAGCGCATCGCCTTCGACGGCGGCGGCGCCGCCGCGGCGCCGCCGGCGCCCGCCGCGGCGCCCGGCGGCCTCGGCGCCTTCGACGCGGGCCTCAAAGCCGCCGTGCTCCTGGCCCTCTGCCTCGACGTCCGCAACTCGAACCCGGCCGACGGCCTCACGACGGAGGAGATGCGGCCCTACGTCGACGCCGTCGTCGACGCGCCGGGGTCCTGGCTCGGCCAGCTCGCGGCGCTGTTCGCGCGGTGCAAGCTCGAGGCCGCGTCCGTCTACAGCGCGGACCGCGCGGCGCTCCAGCTCGAGGCGCTCCGCGACTCGCACGCGGCGACGCGCGCCGACGCGCCCGCGGAGTCGCGCGCGGCGTTCGCGCACGCCGTCGACTACCCGTCGACGTGGGAGCTCGACCGCGAGGTCGGGGGCGCCATGGCGGCGCTCGGCGCCTTCGCGACGGCCGCGGAGCACTTCGCGAAGATCCACGAGTGGGACCGCGTCGTCGAGTGCTTCGCGGCGTCTGGCAAGCGCGAGCGCGCGCTCGCCGTCCTCGACCGCGAGCTCGCGGCGCACCCGGACCACCCGCGGCTCCTCTGCGCGCTCGGCGACCTCCGCGACGACCCGGCGTGCTACGAGCGGGCCTGGGCGGCGTCGAAGCAGCGGGACCCGCGGCCCGCGCGGAGCCTCGGCCGCCGCGCCTCCGCGGCGGGCGACTGGGCGGCCGCGGCGGCCTGGTTCGACAAGGCGCTCGCGGCGCGGCCCCAGGCGCCCGAGTCCTGGTTCAACCTCGGCTGCGCGCGCATGAAGCTCGCGGAGCGCGCCGCCGACGGCGACGAACGCGACGTCGAGCTCGACGCGGCGACGCGCGCGTTCAGCCGCTGCGCGACGCAGGAGCCGGACTGCGGCGACGCCTGGGCGAACATCGCGGCCTGCAAGCTCCGGCGCCGCGACTTCGCCGGCGCGCGGTCCGCGCTCGAGGCCGCCGCGCGCACCAGGGCAGCAAAAGGGTGCGAAATTCCCAACTTCAAGGCTCCTATCTCGGTCGTTTTCCGCTCGTTTCGGCTGATTTTTGGACGAGCGATCATCTCTCGGAGCGCTCTCGAAGCGTGGGTGCTGTTTCCGAAACGCGCGCGCGCGGAACACTCACGTTGAAGCGACGTTGAATCACCCTTTTGCTGCCCAGGCGCGCACGCGGCCCGAGGACTGGCGCCTCTGGGAGAACCTCGCGCGGACGCACTGCGCGCTCGGCGACGGCGCGCGCGCCATCGTCGCGCTGAACCGCATCCTCGACCTCGCGGCCGCGAGCCGCCGGCCCGTGGGCGCCTACGTCGACGTCGTCGCCGCCGTCGTCGACCTCGTCGTCGGCGGCGGCGGCCCGGCGGCGCCGGCCGGCGGCGCCGCGGCGCCGGCCGGCGGCGCGGAGGCCTTCAACGCGCGCGCGCGGCGCGGCGCGCTCGCGGCGCTCGCGGCGCGTTTCGACGCCGAGGCGCCCGCGCGCTGCGACGCCGACAGCGGCCGCCTCTGGACGCTCCTCGCGGACTACGGCGACGCCGTCGGCGACGCGGGCCGCGCGCGCGCGCGCCGCGCCAAGGCGCTCCGCGCGCACCTCCACGCGGCGGACGCGCTCCGCGACGAGGGCGCGCGCGCGGCGCTCGCGCGCGCCGCGCGCGCCTACGGCGCCGCGCTGTCCGCGGGCGCGCCGCCCGCGCCGAGGGCGCAGCTCGGCGCCGCCGCGCTCCTGCTCCGGTCCGTCGCCGCGAAGCTCGCCGACGCGCCGAACCTCGACGAGGCCGCGCGGGCCGCGGCCGCGCGGGAGCCGCGCGACGCCGCGGACGCGCTCGACGCGCTCGCCGCGGCGCGGCCGCCCGACGAGGCCGAGCTCGAGGACGACGCGGACGGCGCGGACGACGCGGCCGACGCGGCCGCGCCGCCGCTCCCGCCGCTGCGGGAGGAGGACGAGGAGGGCGGCGAGGACCCGCCGCAGCAGTAATACATGGCGGACGTGCGTGGCGGCAAGTTGCAGCGCTCGTTGCCTTCAACAAGTCGAGTTCCGATGCGCGGCCTCGTCGTCGGCGCGCTCCTCGCGTCGGTCGCGGGCGCCTACGTCGCGCCGCCGCGGGCCGCCCGAAGGCTCCGGCCGCCGCGGAGCGACGGCGGCGGCGACGACGGCGACGAGCCGCCGGCGGCGCTGCCCATCGACTTTGGCTCCGGCGGCGCGGCCTGGACCTTCGAGTGGCCCGCGGCGCCGGCGGCCGAGCCCTGGGACGGCCGCGACGTCGTCGCGGGCGCGACGGCCTACGCGGCCTGCCACGTCCTCGCGACGCTCGCGGCCGCGGCGGCGCTCGGCGCCGCCCCTTCCGGCGTCGGCGCCGCCGACGCCGCGGTGCGCGCGGCCGGCGCGGGCGCGTTCCTCCTGGCCCAGGACCGCGCCGGCGCCTGGCCCCTCGTGCCCCTGCGGCGGGGCCTGCCCGCGGCGGCCGTCGCCGACGCGCTCGACGGCGGGCGGACCGTCGCCGTCGCGCGCGTGTCTGACGCGACGCCGTGGCCCGCCGTCGCCGTCGGCGCGAGCGTGCCCGTCTTCCAGGCCGTCCTCGTGCCCCTGGCGCTGAGCGCGCCGCCGGGCGCCCTGGCCTTCGACGCGGCGCGGCTCCCGCCGCCGCCGGCGCTCTTCGACGGCTTGGTCGCGGCGCCGCTCTGCGAGACCCTGGTCTTCCAGTGCTGGCTCCTCGAGGCCTGCCGGCGCGCGGGCTTCGCCTACGTCCCCTCCGTGCTCGGCGCCGCCGCCTGCTTCGGCGCCTGGCACGGCGCCGCGCCGACGTCCGCGTTCCTCGCGCTCCTCGGCGCGTACTGGGGCCACCTCTACGCGCAGACGCGGAGCGCCCTCGTCCCGGCGACGATGCACGCGCTCTGGAACGCGCTCGCCCTGGGCGTCGCCGCGTCCCTGGCGCCGCCGTCCTAGGCGTCGTAGATAAGGGCGCTTCAGCGACGCTTCAACGAGCCTTCAACGTTTCAGGAAGTGCGCGCCACGGAGGTGGCGCTCGCAGCCGCCGGGCTCGCAGCCGCCGCTCGCGCTCCGCAGCCGCCGCGCGCCGGGCGCCTCCGTCCGCGCCATGCTGCGCCGGCCGGCGCGCGTCGCCGTCGTCGCGCTGGCGTCGCGGTCCGCGGGTTTCGCGGCGCCGCGGCGCCGGCGCTTCGGCGGCGCGCTGTCCCGCTGGGTCGGCGCGGCGGCCGGCGGCGAGCGCGACCCCGGCGAGGTCGGCGGCCTGCGCATTGTCGCGTACCCGCACCCGGCGCTCCGCGCGCGCAACGGCGACCTCGCACCCGGCGACCTCGCGGCCGCGGCGCCGCTCGCGGCGCGCATGTTCGACCTCATGTACGCCGCGGGCGGCGTCGGCCTCGCGGCGCCGCAGGTCGGCGTCAACGCGCGGCTCATGGTCTTCAACCCGTCGGGCGACGCGGCGCGCACGGGCGACGAGGTCGCGCTCGCGAACCCGCGCATCGTCGCGGCGTCCGCGGAGCTCGAGGTCGGCGACGAGGGCTGCCTGTCGTTCCCCGGCATGGGCGGCCCCGTCGCGCGCCACGCGTGGGTCGAGGTCGCGGGCCTCGACCTCGAGGGCCGCGCGATCTCGCGCGCGTACGCCGGCTGGGACGCGCGCGTCTTCCAGCACGAGTACGACCACCTCGACGGCGTCGTCTACGTCGACCGCCTCGCCGCCGCGGACCGCGCGGCGCTCGCGCCCGCGCTCCGCGAGCTCGCGGCCGCGTACGGCCCGGGCGCGCGGGATTGACGTCGCTATGGTTACGGGGGGCTCATCAGCCGTGCATGTGCTGCGCCAGCTTCTTCTTCTGCTCCTTCTTCGCGGCGAGCTTGAACTTGAGGATGTCGCCCTCGTAGCGCGTCACCTGCTTCTTGTCGCAGATCCAGATCTCCTTCGCGACCTGGGAGATGAGGCGCATGTCGTGGGACACGAGGACGAGGCCGCCCTTGAAGTTGTTGATCATCTTCGCGAGGGAGTCGATGGACTCCATGTCGAGGTGGTTCGTGGGCTCGTCGAGCATGAGGAGGTGGGGCTTGTCCATGGCGAGCTTCGCGAAGACGATGCGCGCCTTCTGGCCGTCGCTGAGCTGGGACATGACCATGGACTGCTGCGCGTTCGTGCAGCCGTAGCGGCCGAGCCAGGACCGCGCCTGCTCGATCTTGCCGAACTCCTTGGGGTAGAGCTCGTGGATCCAGCTCAGCGCGTCGCGGTCGAGGTCTAACACGTCCTCGAAGTGCTGCGTGAACTTGGCCATGCGGAGGTGGCTGTGGGGCCGCACGGCGCCCGCCGTCGGCTGGAGCTCGCCGGTCATCAATTTAACGAAGGTCGTCTTGCCCGCGCCGTTGGGCCCGACGAGCGCGATGCGGCTCTCGAGGTCGATGCCGAGGTCGAGGTTGTGGTAGAGGGGCTCGCATCCCGGGTAGGCGAAGGACACGTCCTGGATCATGAGCACGGGCGTCGGCAGCTCGCCCGGGTCCGGGAAGGAGAAGTCCCACTCCGCGTCGCGGCTCGGCTTGGCCGTGAGGCCCTCCTCGAGCTTCTTCGCTAAAAGCTTCTCGCGCGACTGCGCCTGGCGGACCATCTTCACGGTGCCGTGGCCGAAGCGCGCGATGAAGTCCTTGATCTCGGCGATGTCGCGCTGCTCCGCGTCGTACTTGCGCTGCTGCTCGTCGTCGCGGACCTTGCGCTCCGCGACGTACTGGTCGTAGTTGCCCGAGTAGTAGTCGAGCTTCTTCGTGTGCTCGTTGAGGCGAATCAAGTGCGTGCAGACGCCGTTCATGAAGTCCTGGCTGTGGGACACGAAGAGCAAGATCTTCGTCCAGGACGCGAGGTAGTCCTCGAGCCAGAAGACCGCGTCCATGTCGAGGTGGTTCGTCGGCTCGTCGAGCACGAGGCACGTCGGCTGGAGGAAGAGCGCGCGCGCGAGCGCGACGCGCATGCGCCAGCCGCCGCTGAACTCCTTCGTCGCCATGGTCTGCATCTTCGGCGTGAAGCCCAGCCCGTGGAGGATCGTCGACGCGCGGACCTCGGCCGTCGCCGCGTCGAGCTCGTCGAGGCGCTCGTAGAGGCCGTTCAACCGCTCGCTGAGCGCGGTCTGCTCGTCCTCGTCGTCGCAGGCGCCGATGGCGTCGTTGACGCGCTCGGCCTCGGCCTCGAGCTGCTTGCGCTCGTCGTCGACCTCGAAGACGGCCTGGAGCGCCGGCGTGTCCGTCGCGGGGTACTCCTCGGCGAGGAAGTAGAGGTCGATGGACTCGGGGATGGGCAGGCACTTCGCCGCGATGGCCTTCATGATCGTCGACTTGCCGCTGCCGTTGGGGCCGATGAAGCCGTAGCGGTTGCCGTAGTTGAGGCTGAAGTCCGTGTTCTCGATCAAATTCGCGCCGTGGAACGAGATCGTCACGTCGCGGACGTTGATGTCGCGCGCGTGCGCGTGGCTCGCCTTCTGGTGCGCAAAGGTCGCGATGATGTGCTCCTCGCGCGCGAGGCGGTCGGCCTCGGACTCGTCGGCCTTGGGCGCGCCGTCCTTGGGCTCCGCGGCCGCGTCCTTCTTCTTCTTCTTCGGCAGCGACTCGCCCTTGGCGGCGGCCTTCTCCGCCTTCTTCGCGTCGCGCTTCGCCTTCGCCTCGGCCTTCTTCGCCTCCTTCTCCTTCTTCGCGTCCTCCTTGCTCAGCTTCTTGCCGAAGAGGCTCTCCTCGCCCTTGCCCATGGCGCTGTCCTTGGCGTCGTTGACGGCGCGCTCCCCGGGGCCGTCGAGGCCGTCGAGCATGCGCTGCTCGGCGAAGGCCGCCTTCTTCTTCTGCTTCGCGGCCCAGCCGGACATGGTGCGACGGCGCGGGCGAGCGGCGCGACGCTCCGAAACAGGCGGTGGGCCGGAGTCGCTTGCCGGGAGCGGACGTCGAGGCGGGCGGGAAACAAACTCTCGCCCACAGGTCGTCGTCATCGAGGGAAACTTCAGCTCATTGCAGTGCATGGGAGAACTTCAAAGGCGGCGGTTAACGCCTCGGTTAATGGCGATTTCCAGGCGATTTCCAGGCGATTTCCAGGCGGTTTCGGCTCGGCTATGCGGCCGCCATGCGCCTCCTATGCGGCCGCTATGCTGGCGTATGCCCGGGCTGGTGTATGCCTGGTGGTCGCCCGGCCTCCCCCAACTGGCTACCTGAGCCCGCGTCCGCGGTTCCGCGGCGCCGCCGCGGCGTCCAAGGCGGCCCGAAGTTACGACGGCGCCCGCCCGCCCCCCCCCCAACGCCGCTCGCTCACTTGTCGTCCTTCGCGGGTCGCGCGGTTCCGCCGCCGTCGAGGTAGGACTTCTTGCCCCAGGACCAGGGCACGTACTTGTGCTTGATCATGTGCTTGATCTGCCGCTTCATCGTGAGGAAGAAGAGCGCGAAGAAGTAGATGAGGAGGATGGGCCAAAAGACGGGGATCTGCGGCGCGCGCGCGTCGCGAGGGGGGGCGGCGGCAAAGGGGGGGGGGGGCCGGGCGCGGCGCGCGCGCGTCGAAGACGGAGAAGAACGTCATGAAGAAGGCGACGACGACGCCCTTCGTCGACGAGTACCAGAACTTGAACTCGGGCACCTGCGCGCGCGCGGCGTCGCGGCCGCGCCGCGCCGCGCAGCCGGGCGCGGGCCGCGCGCGCGCCGGCTGAAGGGCTTGAAGTCGCCGTCGCCGGAGACGGGCAGCAGGGGCCCGTCGCTCTCCGGGTCGACCTGCGGCGACAGGAACCCGATGAAGTTGTTGAGCAGGAAGATGCCCAGGCCGTACGTGACCTGCGGCGGCGGGCGTCGGCCGCGCGCGCGCGCCGCGCGCCGCGGCGCCGGCGCGCGCGATGAACCAGCCGTTGACGACGTAGACGCGGCAGGCGTAGACGGCGAGGGCGACGACCTGCGCGGGCGCCGCGGCGCGTCGCGCGCCGGCGCGGCGCGGCGGCCGCCGGCGCGCCGGGGCCGCGCGAAGCCGATCCATCGCGGCACGAGGTGCACCGTCGACCGGTCCAGGAAGACCTGGAACTTTTGCTGCACGCCCGCGCGGAACGAGTCGGCCGCCGAGGGCTGCTCGTCGTAGTCCATCTCTCGTCGCTGGAGCAAGCGCGGCGCGCTGCCAAGCCGGGCTTTGCTCCGGCGACGGCGTCCGATGGCCGACGCACCCCCCGTCTAAACTACCGGGGATTGGTGTGCGGCCAGGGACGCCCGGTGGCTATACGTGACAAAAACAAGCGCTCGGATTGGGACGAATGGCTAGCCGTTTCGCTGGCTTGAGTACCAAACACGTACGCGCGGGCCGGGGACGGAGACCTCCGAGGCCGCGCTTCCGACGCACGGCAGCCCGTTCTGGTGGTCGGAGTGGCCTTCCATGACCCCTAGGCGTAAGCCTGACCGTCGGTGCCCTCATCGGAGGTGGTTCTGGCGTCGACCAAATTCCACCGCGCGGGCCTCGTCCCCGCGGGGCTGCCGCGGCGTACAAGTCCGTGGTGGCGGTGCGCGCCACCATCGATGGCGTTGGATACGCCCCTTGGTTTTGGGCGCGACGTGGGTGTGACGGCTGGGGAACGCCATTTCCCTGTAGTAAGATGTACCACCCTGCCGCGCACGCCGGGGCGCGGCCGGCGCCACTGGCGGAGCAAAGCCCGGCTTCGCTGCCACAACGAGGAGACACGATGGCCAGGACTGGGCAAGTGATGGCCGTGCCGAGCTAGGCCGCCGTCCGCGCGTCGCGTCCGGAAGCCGCTCCGGTCTCCCCGCGCGGGCGTTCGCGCGAGCCGTCGCCGGACGCGCGCATCGCCGTCGCCGTCGTCGTCCGGGCGGGCGGCGTCGCGATGGCCGGCACCGTGTCTCCGGCGGAGCCGCGCGGCGGGCTGAAGCGCGCCTGGTCCCTCGGCTCCGACGACGACGACGCCGCCGAGGAGCTCCAGCGGCGCGAGCGGCGCGCGCGGCTCGCGGCGGCCAAGGCGCGGCGCGCGCTCGACGACGCGCGCGCGGCCGCGGCGCCGCGGGCCGCCGCGGCGCCGGCGCCGGCCGCGGCCGCCGCGCGCGCGACGCCGGAGGCGCGGCGCGCCTTCGCGGCGGCCGCCGCGGACCGCGCGCGCGGCGCGCTCCGCGCGCTCCGCGGCGGCGGCGGCGG